TGGCATGGGTTAGGACTGCTTGCCTGTCACATTAGGGCCACAGAGAGCAGTTACTGATAAGAAAAGGTAAGCAGCTTTACATAGTTTTGAAGAACAAACTGGCAGTTCTATTTACAGAGGCCAAGGACAGTAGTTATTGTGAGGAGAATGGGGCAGCCATTTCAACTTATCTAAAAACAGTTTTGCATTTTATAAAATAGTTTTGCTCCAGTTCTGGCTCTAGGCCAGCACAATATCACAATTAGACATTAAAGCATGAGTCAATGGAGACACAGGAGCAAGGTCTGTGGACCATAAAGTTATAGGCAGGCCTCCAGCAGGATGACTCACCACATTTGCGGCATTTCCCTGTACTGTGGGAAAGCACTGTTGACTAGAAAAGGCATGGGAGCAAAGTGAAAGTAAATCCTGAAATTGTCTTAAAAAGTCTGGGGGTAAAGTAAGTGTAATAGGACCAGGCTGCCAATTAGGCATAGCTTCTGGAGGGGCACTGGGTTGCACTACAACGTCAGTCAAAGGAATATCACAAGAATTAAAATCATACTCACTATGACAACTGCAAGGACCTTGTTCCACGATTTCCTTTTGCTCCGGCGGCGCCAAAGGAAGATTTGAACTCTCTGGCATGAAACTGGCCTGAGCTTGGTATGCGGGCGGGAGCGGGGAGGGGGCAGAAGAAGGTAAAGAGGGAGGATAGAAAGGAGCAGAAGGCAATGGAGAAGGACAAACACATTCACGAAGCTTGCCCCAAACAGTAGTTAATACTGCAGTTTGAGGTAGATTGTTATTACGAGAACAAAAATGACCGATTTTTTCCCCAATAAGTCCCCAAGCATTTTAATCCAAAATTCTACCTTCATGGACCCAGGGACACAACTCACGAATAATTTGTAAAAACTCCTGTAGCTGACTAAATTTTACATCATGACCTTGAGCCTTAATCATTGAATGCAATAAATGTACAAACAACTTATGTTCCTTTGATTCAAGTTGCCCCATTTTTACTCCTGATTATTCTCACTTGCAAACCTTTTGTGTTTACAAAAAAAAATTTCTCAGATCCTTGTATTACAAAACTCTTCAGAACTTTGTTACTTACTGTGATCGCTACTTCACCTAAGTGTCACCGAAATCCCCGATCTCAGGTCCCTGTTCGGGCGCCATGTCTGCCGGGAACTCTCTACCAGCAAGAGGATTCCAACCTGAGTGGGGGGTGCACAGGAAGAAGGGAGACAGAAAAGCGGGGTCAGGAGGTCTGGGGAGTGAGTGCTCCACCAGCAACTTTATTTCTTAAGGCTTAGAATATATACATTTTTAGGGTCTGATTGACGTCATGGTAAGGAGAAAAACAAGTAGCCAAATCAATTTTATACAATAAATTGACAGGTAAGCAATGAGTGGTTATAGAAGATAATAATACCTTTGGTGCTCATAAACAAGTTTTTGTAGCAAGAGACATTGTTCCTCATGAGTGCAGGCCATCTGGTTTCGCCCATCTGGTTATCTTTTAACAGGATTCTCCTTTTTCTGTTCCTGACTCAACTTTATCTCAACTTCCCTCTATCAGGCGTCTCTGTGTCTCAGCTCGACCACCCGTCTTGTGAAACTCGCTTTGCAAGCATTCACACGGCTGAGTTCCCCACAATAAATCATTTGCATAGATAACTCACAATTAATAATTGTTTATATTTCTTTATGATAGGCGTGCCTTACAGAAAAAAAAATGCTTTATTGAAATCTAAATTTACAACAATAATTGCATTACCTTGACAGTTTCCTTTAAATAGCCCACCCAGTCCAAGTGAAATAGACATTGATTTACAAATACTTTTTCAAGAATCTAATCATCAAATAGAGAGCACAGACTAAAGTATTTTTGAGAGTCTTCTCAGAACCAAGATGAACATAGCCTATCAATTTTTATTTTATTTTTATTTTATTTTTTTGAGAGGGAGTTTCACTCTTGTTGCCGAGGCAGGACTGCAATGGCACAAACTCAGCTCAGCACAACCTCCACCTCCCGGGTTCAAGCAATTCTCCTGCGTCAGCCTCCAGAGTAGCTGGCGTTACAGGCATACGCCACCACACCTGGCTAATTTTCTATTTTTAGTAGAGACGGAGTTTCTCCATGTTGGTCAGGCTACTCTAGAACTCCCAACCTCAGGTAATCCACCCTCCTCGGCCCCTAAAGTGCTGGGATTACAGGCAAGAGCCTCCGTGCCTATCTTATATAATCTTCTCTAATCCTAATAAGGTAGATGATACTATTTCTATTTTACAGAAAACAATATTTAGCTAAACTTAGAGTGCTTTTTATAAGCCAGGTATTCTTTAAACATTTTTTATATAAACTACTTATCCAACCTTTCTAATAATAATCATAATAGGCAGATGCACTTTTATCCCTACTTTAAGGTTGTGGAGACTGAGATTAACCACTGCATCCCAGATCACGCAGTTGGAAGATCTTAGAGGAAGAATTGAGCAGGAAGCCGGCAGTCTGACTTGAGCTGGGTTCTTAACTGCTCCCTTGCATTGCCCGAGGTAGATAAACTTATAATCACAGTGTTATAATAACTTATAATTATATAAACTTATAATAACAGTGTTAAAATATGCACTTTGAATGAAGAGATTCCCCAAACAGGCTTTGTGTGAGCAACATGGCTGTTTATTTACCTGGGTGCAGATGGGCTAAGGTCAAAAAGGGTGTTGGCGAAGGGCAGGGGGATACGAGTTTGTTTATAGGTTTGGGGTGGACAGTGGAAAGTTACAGAGTAAGATCAGTTACAGCGGTTGGGGTGGGGCAAGGAGTATACATTACCATAAGTTCAGTTACAATGGTGGGTGGGGTAAGGCAAAGAGTAGTTAAGATAGCAGGTTGGGGTGAGGAGTATTCATGTTATCATAATAGTAGTTAAGATGGCAGGGTGGGCAAGGTGGGGTGAGCCATCTTAACTGAGGGAAGCTTCGCTGGGTGATCACGGATCCTGGCGAAGGAAGGTGGGGCAGTGGGGGAGCCGTGGGGGGTGTGATCAGCTGAGGCAGGCAGGACTTCAGACTTTCTGGGTCCAGGCTTGCACATGGAGGCCTGACACACAGCACCAGCCACTGACAGATCTGAGAGGAATCTAAGTCCTTCTAAGTCCAATACCACTTAGTGCCCTTTTTGTACTTCCTAGGTAACTGTCTTTGTCATGGGGCATTTTTATTTGGTGACACCTCCCACCATTACCTGCAGCCAACATGGCCATCCTTGGCTTTCATGAAGTGTGTGGCAGAGCAGGAGCCATGGCTAGGAGGGTGCTGAGGCTGGCCGCCAATCTAGGGTAAGGCAGGAGAGAACTAGGGAACTAGCTTAGGTTCCTCAGCCACACCTGGACTCATAGAAACAGGTCACAACATGGAAGCTCCTGGTAAGTCTGGGTCTGAGGAGGGGTAAAAATTTCCTTCTTTCTGTTTCAAGTTGGCCCTGAAGGTGCTGTGCTTGGCCCATAAACAGTACTCCCTACTCCAAGAAGCAAACCTCCTGACCTCCTATATGATCACAGAATTTGATTCCATGCAGCAGCTAGTGCAAGAGGAAAAAGTTGGGCCTGAATCTGAGGCCTCCAGGTTTTCTGGCTTGGCCAGGGCAGCAACTCTGGGTCAGTACCTGTGTTCAGGGTCAAGTGAGTCTCAGTCCTTCTCTACCCTGACTGTGGGTGCTGTCTTCAAGGCCCAGCTGGGGCTGAGGGATGTCCAGAGGTCTCAGTTGCTGAGTTATGCTACAGTAGAGTTTTGCAACCCTGGGATCATGGACTTTTGTACACGGACAGGCCCCAGGAGACCTGAAAAGTTAGGGGCTACTTTATGTCTCCAGTGTATGGCTCTCCAAGTTTTACAAATACTCCTTTCTCTGACCAGTCCCTGATCTCTCCTCAGCACTGTCCTCCTCTCTGCCCAGAATCTTTAGAGCTTTCTGGCCACATGACTTGAACAATGGCAGGGTGATTGAGTGGTTCTATGTACACTCTGGGGATCCCACCTGGGCCTGACTGCACCAAGGCCAAGACAGTTCAAAGTCCCATGAAGAAGAAAAGGAGACCATGCCCCTTACAGCCAGACAGTCATCTGGACCCCAAGTGGGTGACCAAGTGCTAACACCAGTCTTTCCTGCCCTGCCTGAGGAGAGGGTCTCTGCCTGAGACCCAGCCCTTATTTGGGCCCAGCATCCCCGAGGAAGGAAGAGCCCCCTTCCCCTGCCATTTTTCTTATGTCTTCTCAGCCACAGTCCTCAAAGTCTAGGCTCTCCTGGGCCCTTCCACCATGAAGAATGCTCCACCCTCTGGCCCTACCTACTTGAGATCTCAGTGCCATGCTTGAACTCTCTGAGAAGCCTCTCTCATAGCTCAGTTTTCATGAAAGCATTGGCTGGGACTAAGTCCTTCAGGAGCTGAAAAGACCAGACCAGCCGTTCATCCCAACATGGGTCTCCTAGTCTCTCTCCCGTCCCTCCTGGCAGCGAGTCTGTGGTCAGCAAGGGACAATGGTGCTCCCTAGAAAACTGGAGGACAGCCCGACTTCTGGAGGCAGGACATTTTCTGTCTTTTTCCCTTTGGTTGTAATCAGCTTTGCTCTCCAGTTTCAGGAGAGAAGAAGAGAAGAATGTAACATTGCCAAGGAGGTGGGGTTTCTCTCAGAGCCTTGCCTGTCTATGCTGCAAACTATTCACTCTTTGCTGGTTTTGGGCATGCTATAGGCAGCTAATGGGACCCCAACTTGGGAAGAGTCAGCAGAGAACAGGGATGAATGAGGGGAGGTCAGTGTTGCCTGTTCTGCTTTGCTTGGGCCTTTTGGTCTGGCTGTATTCGGTGTTCCCCTGGGAATTAACTATTTCTACCACTTCCACTTCCAGGTTTTGCCCTCGAGCTCAGCATGTGAAATAGGGAAGGAAGACCTCAGAAAACTTGAGTCAGCATTTTCTAGTGGGAAAATGAAGCTCTCACCCTTCCCTTTTATGCACATGGAGGGTAGGGAAACAGCAACTTGCTTAGGAGAGTCCAAGGTGATAAACAAGTGGCAGAGCAACCTGGACTTGTGAGGCAGAGGCCCGAAGGCTGTACATCCCTAACCCTTCCCCTTCCAGAGCCTGAGAACCAGCTCTCAGCAGGAAGCTTGGGGCTGAGCAAGTGGAAGGGTGAAAATGTTGGAACTCCAGTTTCCTGGATGCATCAGAAACTGACATCTGGGTATCCTTTCAGAGCAAACCTGTCACTCAGCTGTCAGCCAGGTTGAGTGAGACAGAGACTTCAGAGGTCACCTTGTCCAACCACTTTCCCCACACACCCCCCAAATGGAGGCTGGAGGAAGTGGCTGACCCCATTTCTTGTTCCCTGTCGGTCACCTTCTTTTCCCTTTTTTCTTCTTCAGTTGGCCCATCTTTTTTTTCACCATGAAGGGCCCCAAGCCAACATCTTTTCTCTCTGGGACTTTAGCCTGTATAAAGAGGCTCACAGTGAGGTGAGGTTTAGGAAGTTTCAACTGTGGGAGAAAGAGCTTTCACCAGGGCAGTGGACACCTGGGCTACCTCTGGGCCCACACTGTGTCTCTGAAGCCCTTGGAGAAAGCAGCTGAGGTCCTGTGAGCAGGGACCTGCATCTAGTTCTCTGTGGTCTTCTTGCTGCTTGCTATTTCAGGATCACTCCAGAGCTGAAATGGGCTACAGGCCCTCTCTTCATTAGGAAGACATTTAGCTTCATTGACTAACCCAGTGATTGGGCTACTAGGTTATCTACCCACTCACTGCTAATTTCCTCCTGTATCTTAAACCCCACATGCCTCTCCTCCTTCAGTGACTCTGCTGCCTTGGATCTGGTCCCAGAGGTGCCTGTTGATGACAAGCATCCTGAGCACTCAATGCTTAGTTTCTAGTACTTACACCCCCACCAAATGCACACCCGTAGTCCAGAGGCATGGCTGTAAACTTCCCACCTTTTATTCTTTCCTCCTTCAGCTTCTCAGTCCCCAGAGCCACTGTCTCAGCACCCACCTTCTCAACAGCACTTTGAACAGGCCAGCTGGGCCCCTTGCAATCCCAGGTGACTGGTCTAGGGACATAAAGAGCCTGGACCAAAGAGCCAAATGAAGGCAGGAAGTAGAAGAGCTCAGGGTGGGCTGAGACCCAGATGGAAGGAGGGCTGAAAGCACTGCCAGGCATTTCAGGGACAC